TGTCTGGGCCACGAGTCGTTTCTTCTAGTTCATGTTTTTATATTTTTGGATATTTTAAAAGAAGGCCATCAATTTCCGGACAGAAAAAAACTGCATTACAGCAGAAACAATAATTGTATTAGTTATTAGACGCAGGTTCCTTGTATTCATTTTATAGAATACAAAAGTTGTAGATAAGAATAGTAGAATTGTCAATACAATACATAATTATTGCTCTAACATTTTTTTTTATATAATTTAAAGTTGCAATCGGCATCATGGGGGATATAGCTCAGTGGTAGAGCATTCGACTGCAGATCGAGAGGTCCCCGGTTCGAACCCGGGTGTCCCCTAATTTTTTTATACTCAAAAAGTAAACTTGTCTTTATTTATATTCTTGTTTTGTTGCTCAAGTTATCTTTCTACTGAATAACGTAAAAAGTCTCATGCTGACTAATCGCTGTTATTAGTTTTTTATTTAGTATTTTTGTCATACGACCATTGTTCTTTCGTGAGGAGAGGCTAGTCAAACGGGTAATAGAGACAAAACTTTGATAAGTTTACAGAAACAATACACAGAAGACATTCTCAACACATCCATAACACACTAGCATATCGACAACACAGATACTGCATCACCCACAACAGTCAGCTGTTGGAAGGTGTGTACACATGACACACAACAACACATCTGATTGCTGTGCGTCACGCGTACGCATATTCTGCTGCACTTGAAACTGGGTGGCCTAAGGCACTGATAAGTTGATTGCCTCTTGTGTCAGTCGGTACGAAGCAGGGAGCAAGATGGAGTTAAATCCTTGGTTATATTATATCTCTTTGATATGAATGTCGTTTCTTTCATCGCAGTTCAGTAACGTCCTGTTCAATCAACTCTTTTTAATTCTTGCTTCATTTTCATGGGGCGAAAGGCGCAGAAATCACTGCAGGGGCGCCGCCATCAAGGTAACATTTCGCGGGCCTGAACTTTACCACCAATTTCCCCCCCCCCCCCCCCCCAAAAAACACCCCAAATGACAACCACCACCCCGCCCTCCCAATCTATCTGTCTAATTACCAGTCTGCCTACTTTTCTCTCTGCCTACACATCTCCCCAAAAACATGTTCCCAAACGCATGTCCCGTTTTGTGTTATACTTAGCAATTCTTTGTCATACGTTCCACTGCAGCCCCCCCCCCTCCCCCCCCCCCCCACCGACCACACAAAGGGGAAAAAGTGAGTCCCCTCCAGATTAAAATCATGTAGGATTAACATCTCAAGGAGAAGAATCTAACAGCTACAAATCCCGAAAACCCCTGTTCTACCTTACATATTTACACGTCATCATCATCATCATCATCATCATCATCATCATCATCACCATCATCATCATCATCACCATCATCATCATCATCACCATCATCATCATCATCACCATCATCACCATCATCACCATCATCATCATCATCACCATCATCATCATCATCACCACCACCATCATCATCATCATCACCACCATCATCATCATCATCATCATCATCATCATCAAGTGCCCTGTCGACTGGTATGAGTGATCCTGCCTGTCCACTATCTGTGAGCTGCAACTGCGTGTTGCCTTCCGTCCACGCCATGGCAACAGGGCGTCAAGAATATTCTCGCCCTGCCGTTCTCTGTCTCTCTTTCCATAGATCCTTCCAGTTGTCACAACATATTCCTGTTTCATTCTTCTCATAATATGATTACAAAATGATGACTACATTGTTTTTAATGTTTGTGAAAAGTTATCCTCAAACCCTCACCTTAAAAAAAAATAAAAAATCCGGGTTGCTCTTTATGGCTGTCCTATGAATTCTAATGATTCTTCTGTAAAACCACATACATTGTTCCGCTTGTTTATTAACTGTCCACACTTATCAAAGGAAAATGCAAGGGATTGTGGAGAGAACAAACTAACAGTAAACATCCACAAGACCCCACCAGCAGACTCAACAGAAAGCAACATACAACAATTTTCCATCTACGAACAGGACACTGCAGGCTCAACTACCACATGCATAAAATAAAGATTGTACAGTCCCCCCAGTGTGCATGTCAAACAGGACCCCAAACACCTCAGCACATTCTGCAGACCTGCCCACTCTACCTGCAACATCGAAAAGACACCTGGCCTCAAGAGCAAAGTGCACAGAGCAAACTATGGGGAACCTTGCGGGACCTGCAGCTGACATGCGAGTTCATAGAGGCAACCCACCTGATGGTTTGATCTGAGCATACGAAACCGAACGCAAAGAAGAAGATTAACTGTCCAGAATTCACAGCCGTGTGTTACAACTCGCTCTCTGAGAATTCTTTTCTTAACCACCGATGACATTAATTTATTTCATTGGATGTTCTTCGTTTTACAAAATGCAGTTTTGACCAATCCTTTTCTGTTCGGTATCTCTGTGATTCATCTTCGATCGAATGTTATCCATGTGTCAAGATACTTAAATGTCTGTACTTGTCCTAACAGAACGCCGTTGACTTTTATTACACATTTAGGCACTATTCTTTTCTTGGATATCACCATTCTTCTGCCTTCTAATTATTCAAATTGAGGCCTATTTTATCACTTTCTACCACCACCTAATCTATCAATCCCTTTAGTTCTTTCTGACTTGTCGCTTTCAAGACGGCGTCATCGGCAGCTTGTTTATGTTATGACTACCAGCGTGGCATATTCCATTATTTAATTCACTGTATAATAAAAACCAATCAGATGATATAGTACACATCCTTGTCGTATTTCCTTCTTTGTGCTCTGAGAAGTTCCAAAATTGTTATTAATTCTCATAGCTGCTGCCAAATAGCATCACAAAACAGTTACATTTATCAGAAAGCGCCACTGGAACTACATCGGCCATGCACTCAGAATGGAGAAGATGAGACTTCCCCATCAAGCCCTCGTATGGACACCGGAAAGGAAGAGAAAACGGGGAAGATCAAGAGAGATCCTGCGTAGAACCATCATCAGGGAAGGCTCAACCATGGGCCTAATAAACATTCTAGTCCTAAAGCAGGTGGCAACGAACCGCTAGACATGGAGAGCTATGACCTCTGCCCTATGCGCCACCTTAGGCTCAAGAGGAAAGACTAACTAACAAAACAGTTACAATAAAAAAAAAATTATTAAGTGTAATCTCTGACTGTGTAAACGATGATGTCGTTGTGTGTCTCTGTAATTTATGTCTGTAGTACATGTGTTGCCCTGTGTACGCGTATCAGTATGTGACCTGTAGTACAGTTGTGGGATAGTTCGACGTTAATCTCCCCAGACCCCGCCCATATATACACTAGCTTACGTCTGATTTGTAGTTCTTGAGCCTCGAAACCTTCACACACGGTTACGGGGGTGTTCCGCAGTGCCGTTGATATCGCGTGTTGCATATTTCAGCACGTCAGCGCTTTTCACACTCCAAAAACAAACAGAAACTGGGCCTAACACAATCCTTCTAGAGAGTGCTGCAATCTATGTCACAGGCATTCTCTTTCTCGGAATTAATACGTAAATGCAAGACATCGCAGAAACCAAAGAACAAATCGGGAATCACCCATAACCTTCAGAAAAGCCGACAAGCCCAACAAACTTGTAAATGAAAAGTGACCCTCTCTATTTGGGGAGACTAACGTCGAACTAACCCAGTTATGTTATGTTATCACAATCGACGTCACTGCACCTTGGTCATACCCATGAAATAGTGTAGTATGGGTGTGTTATGATTACACCCTACCGACCGTTTCTACACGAAGTTTGTTATAACGTCTCCTATAAAAAATGCGTAAATAGTTTTTGCATAACACTGCACACTGCATTCACGTTTGGAAGCATGTAAGTGTATTTATAGTGGGCAAACACGGAACTTTGGGTTAAGGTAATCCTGCTAAATTAAGTAGTACTGTGTATTTTTAGTGCGTAGTTTGCGTTAAACCACTAACGAGGTTTCCGACTTTTTCCGAAGTGAGGTCAGTGACGTATCTCATGTCGGCCACCTACCTCACCTGACATGGCAATTTTCAATCCGTGATAATATTTAGGTCAAAGTCTTCCATCATCTCCTACTTCTGTTCACACATATTGTGTCCAAGATACAAACCATCAGAGCTTTACGGCAGGAGGTAGTAGACGGTATTTCGGGTAAGCGTGCCTATTTTATACAAGATCAATAAATATGTCTATAGTACGAATATATTAATTTGAATTGTAAAGAAATGACAGTTATTTCCCCATCTCAATTCACACATATAGTTGCTTACTTGTTGTACCCCACCAGGACATCACACAAGCGATAAACAACCGGTGACACAAAGTGTCACCATGCGGATGAGGATCACCCGTGGAAAGGTCACAGAAACCCCTTTCAACCGTTATGGCCACATATGTAACCCAGCTATATCTAGGGCTCCCAGAAAAAGCCCGGGTGGGGCATCAAATAACTAAAAATTGCATAATACAAAGGGACGACTTAGATACACATATAGTTATCTCCCTTGCGTTAATTACCGCTGACAAAAATCGTCCCCTTGTGGGGCGCAATTTTTCGTTAATTTGAAGCCCTACCTTGGCTATTGCCGGGGGCACTAATATAACCTAACAGTTGAACAGAATTTCTGGGACCTCTCCACGGGTGGTCCTCATCCGCATTGTGGCACTTTGTGTCACCGGGTGTTTATCGCTCAGTGGGATGTCCTGGTGGGGTACAACTTACATACTCCTTTGCGTTCGCGTTGATCTCCATCGAAGGGCCCCAATCACGCATGTGTGCAGTCGGTTCTCAAGCCAGCGGTAGGCTGCGGTGACTGCCTTTACCTCCATTCTCAGACTAGATTATCACCACCATCGTTCTGCGCCGGTACAGGTCACACATAGTTCGCAGTCTATTCTTTTCTGCCAGCTCTATACTACGCCTGCCTGCTCTATCCTACGCAATTTCTGTGTACAGTTATATCAAAGAATATCTGACCTTCCTCACAGGCCGCAACTAACCATGGTAGACCAGTTCTGGACCTTGCCGGACGTTATCAAACACTGGGGTCAACAGACACCGGACCAGGAGCCGTTTATTTTCATCAACAAACATGGCCGCTACTGTACATTGAATGCTAGCGACATCTATGTTCTGGCGGGACGTTTCGCCTCCCGTCTGCGGCGTTGTGGGTTTGAGGCGGGTGATGTCATTGCGAACGGACTCCCAAATTCACCAGAGAGGGTCATCACCGACTTTGGTATTGTGATGGCGGGATGTGTCTCACTTAACTGTCAGGTAAAGTGCATAATGTCTATACAATATCAATAATGTTGATACAATGTTGATACAGTGTCGATGCAATGTGGATAATGTCGATCCAATATTGATAGTGTCGATACACTGTCGATGGTGTCGATACAACATCGATGCAGTGTTGATAAACTGCAGATAATATCGATACAATATCTATAATGTCGATGCAGTGTCGATACAACGTTGATACAATGTCGATACAGTGTCAATACAACGTCGATACAATTTTGATACAATGTCGATACAGTGTCGATACAATGTGGAAACAATGTTGATACAGTGGTCTTTAATGTCGATACATTGAGCTTCGTAGCCACATATTGCTTTGTTAATTTTTTTTTTCAAGGTTTCCAATCCATGTTTCTTTACGAGTAAAGTAAAGGACCCTTTCCCACGCCTCCATGCGTATTGAGCAAATTGGGCTAGACCTATCAGCACTTGGTAGGCGATGTGGCCAACATCAGGCCGGCATCCTTTACTTCCCAGGGCGGCACCTGGTACCCACTCAAGGCTAGGCTGACCTTGAAGCCAAAGACATTTTTGTTGTCGAAAAATCCGGTTCCGCCAGGACTGGAACCCACGAACTTACGCTTACCAGGTGAGCCTCTAGCCGCTTCACCATGGCGACTTCCTTGCTTTATTAGTATTATTTGGTTATTAATGTTATTAATTGTTTAATAATGTTATAAATTGTTTATTATTGTACTGTATAATCCGAAGTATAATACCTTTCTTTCTTTACGTTGCTTTATTCATGAATTCGTCAGTCATCATAAATGATTTCTTTTTGTTTTTCGTTTTCAACTGACATATTGATATTTGGTGAATGGACACTGTCTGAATACAGAAAGCCTCGCGTATAACGTCCCAACATCTAGTATGAGAATGGAGGTGGAGGCAGTCGTGGCAGCTTTCCGATGGCATGAGAGCAGCATGACTCGACATTTACTTGTAACGGACTCACAAAAGCATGCTTCGGAACATTGAAATTGGCGTCCTACGCGTAGTCTGGCTTGCTAAAGATAGGGACGGAGCGCTTATGGGAATGCCCTGAGTGCTGTGATGTCGGTTCTTGAATCAAATTAAATCAAATCAAATCATGCATCAGTATTCCACAGGGCACTACAAAACAATAGAATGATAACAGAATCCAGTTTCCCTACCTGATTTTGAGATAATCATGAACACCTAAAATGAAGAGTTCCTATTTTTTATTCGCAGATCATAGAGAAAGATGGCGGAGACTTCTGGAATACTGCCAGGATATCTGAATGTAAAGGGGTCATTTTCCCGGACCAAACGGACAACCCTGCATGTCGGCTGTTCTCAAAGTTTATACTGGACAACAGCCAAGACATATCTGGATATCGGGATATCTCACTTCCTGAGGCAGAACACACAGCAAAAGCTTTCGTCATCATACGAAGTCCAAACTCGACTAGCTGTACACAGAAAAACGACACGAAGAAACAAAATGGAGATATTTCTAGCTATGACCATGAATCATTTTTGGCAAGCCTGGCAGAAAGCGACGAAGATGTCTTTATGGCGGAGTGCCAGCCGAATGAAAATGCGTATATATTCACAACCTCGGGATCTACTGGTCCGTGTAAGTTAGTGCCGAGGTCACATCGAGAGCTTCTCCGGATGGCCAGGGGATACAACAGTCCCGCCGAAACGAAATACTTCAACGATCGACAATTGAGCTGGCTTGGGGGATTTCCTTTCGACTATTTTAGAAACTGCATGCCACGTCTGCTTCAGGTAATCATTAGGTGATGGTCTGTGTTGTTGCATAAGTTTACTTAAGTTAGGAAATGACATCAAAGCATTCATGGCGTTCCCATAAGCACTCCATCCTCACCTTCAGCAGGCAGTGACGGGTCCCAGTCCAGATGGTGTCAGTAGATTAGGTCAGTCGTGCCGTTCCTTTGAGTGCAGATGTTGACCAGATACCGTGAACTTCTAGCTGTACGATTCTGTCCAGTCCATAAAGAATTTTGTGTGTCTATATACATGTCTCACAGTATCTAGTTTGACATGCATCAGTTAACCACCCAGTGGTGCAGAACGAGCCAATCCTTCTCTTAATTTCCTAACACAGCTGCATTCCCCGAAGAAAATTTGTACGAGTTGTTACTGTTTAATGATTTGTGCTGATACAGGTAAACGGTTAGAATTGCCTTGTGTTGGTACACGTAAACGGTTAGAATTGCCTTGTGTTGGTACACGTAAGCGGTTGGAATTGCCTAGTGTTGGTACAGGTAAACGGCAAGAATTGCCTTGTGTTGGTGCAGGTAAACGGTTAGAATTGCCTTGTGTTGGTACAGATTAATGATAATGGTTTTTATTGATATAAAAGTTGCCTGCGTGCCCTTTACAAAACGTTGCTGAACCAACTCCAGCATGTGTTTTGCTCTTGTGATTTTTCTAGGCAAATTTAACGTTTAGTAGTTTGCCATTGCTTCCCGGAACGACTGTCGAAACCAGCGCGAGATGGTTCGCTACCAAATCGTCTGCAGCTGGGACCGAGAACCTCGGCATTATGAATCGCGTTCGTATTGCTTGAGCCACTGAGACCGACTTATTAGCATACGGAGTATTCGTCATAGGTAAATATTAGAAATGCTTTTGTGGACATATGTCCATTGTCCATTTCAAAATCATCATTCTTGCACTTCAGGCATACCCATAAGTGCTCCGATCTTCTCCTAAGCATGTTCCTTGGTATGTTTACGCTGACGACTCGGTCGTGTAGTGGTTGCTGTAACGACATGGGAGACAATTACATTATATAACCCTAGTAACTCTAAAGCTGTGAAATCAGATGCCTGAAAGACAGAAGTTATAAATGATGTTATTAGACAGACTGTAAAACCATGCAGAAATTCACACAGAGACAGAAGATCAAATGATTTGGTCATCTAGTAAAAATGCAACCAGAACAACTAGGAACGCAGGCGCTACTCACAAACAGATCTCAAGTGAAAGTAAGAGGTCGCCCTAGGAGAAAATAGACTGATGACATTAATCGAAATAATCTTACGTCCTTTTCAGGACGTAATTTTTTTTATTTGAAGCCCCACTCTGGCTTTTGCCAGGGGCCGCAATATAGGCAGGCCACAAATATGGCCATTTGTCTTAACGCGGTTTCTGTGACCTCTCCACGGTGATCCTCACCCACATGGTGGCACTTTGTGTCATCGGGTGTTTATCGCTTGTGTGATGTCCTGGTGGGGTAGAAATTCATTCATTCATTCATTCATGACATTAAAGAGTACTCTCCCCCGTGTGGGTTCCGGGGCCCCATTGTAAGGAAAACAAGAATAGACCCACTGCCTCCCCAAAAGCATGTCGTAAGAGTCGACTAATTGGGGAGCTTCCTTTGAAGTCGGAGTGCATCTGCCGGAGAGGCAAGGAACCAACAGTCTGTATTCAAGAGAATAAGATCTGTAAAACTGATGCACACGCAACACTCAGGTTCTGGAGCAGGACTGCAGTTCAGTAGTGGACGAGCAACCAGAAATTTCCGCCACGAGTTTACAGCTGGTGAACGCAAAGAAGAAGAAGATTAAAGAGCAGTCTTCATCAACACAGAATGACAATACCTATTGCTGCTCATCAATTTACGGATCGCAAACTGATTTTCCTCACGGCGCTTAACGACAAAAGTGGTAAATGATGATGATGATGATGATGAAAAACTAAACGGAAGCCCACCTTTCCCAATTTGGCTACAGAATCCACACAAGGAGTTACTCAACAATCGCTTGGTTCAGTTAGAGTCTAACGATCCGACTCAACGATGGCCTAGGATTGAGGAGTCTGCTGACTCATGCCCACATGTCTTGACAGTAGATCTTATGTGACCGACTGTAGCTGATTTATGTAGTAGATTTATGTCGAGGGTCGGCCTTTGTCTCTTTTTTCCAGAAACCCTAACTTCCATCACCACTATCTCCATGTCGCCATGACGCCTAACATGGCCTAAATAGCTCAGCTTTCGGGACAGGATGCTGTTTATAAGCCAGTTCTCCTCAGGTCATATGGGTGTCAGTATTTCTCTTTTTTGGTCCATGGTATTCTAGGAATTTCTGTAGCATTTCATTTCAAAAGCTTTTATTATAGGGACAATTTTTAATATAATGTCGTTTAATATATCTATCTCTATATATATAATATGTTTAAACACTGACTAATAAAGGGTTTTCTCGGAAGTTGAAATATTTTGGTCATATCAAGCGCCACGACAGATTGGAAAAAATTATAGCAGAAGGCATGGTACCAGGAAGGAGGGGCAGGGGCCGACCGACACGAAGATGGGCACACGATATAAGTGACTCCTTAAATATGAAAATGCATAAGGTGGGAGAACTGGCGAGAGACCGAGTTTCTTTCAGGCAGACTGTGATGAGAGCGACGTTCTGCAAAGGACCTGCTACATGATGATGATGATGATTAATATATTCATTTAAAGAAATAATAAAGAATATGTTTGCAAAGTCAGAAACAATATTTATAGAGTATAGCCCATTAAATGACTTTAAGTAGCAACTTAAAATTGTATTTTATATATATATATACATATTTAATGTATGTCGGCGTATGACATAGGCTTTGGGAACGCGCTGCGTAATGCTGGGGGGGGGGCCGGGTTGGATCCCAGCTGTGGGCCTTGCGTTGGTTTCAACAGTGGTATCAAAAGCAGACTGTTCAATAAGCAAACTATTGGACATAGCATTCGCCTAGAAAACCTACAACAGCTTAAAAATGCCGGGGTTGGTTCTGCAACGTCCTGTAAAGGATACGCAACTAACTTTATGTATATGTATAATGCAGTGGTGAAAGAACAAAAAGGAATTTTATAAGGGGCTACATTGTCACTTTCTAAAGTTGTACCTTATTCTGGAACTGCTCAGATATATGTAAAAAAAACCTAGCCTGACATTGCAGCATATCTGCGTGGCAGACTGTGGCAGATTTATGTAGCAGACCTTAGTAAATGTGTGCGGCATACGATCATCATCATCATGTGCCCGGCCAGCTCAACAGCTCTCTTGATATCCCTCCGTGCCAGCGTTTCATCCCATCCTGCATCATCTCTCTTGGTCTGCCTCTACCCCTTCTTCCACTGATCTTTCCAGTTGTCAAGATGTTCTCCGATGTCTGTCTTCTCACTATGTGGCAAAAGAACATTGTTTGTCTCTTCCTTTATGTTGTATATAGAGATCTACTTTTATTAACTTCTTTCAAGCAATCATTGTTAGTTACTCTTGCCGTTCAAGGTATTCGTCTCTGAAACCACATCTCTGTTGCTTCCAAATTCTTCCTAATTTGTTCACTGACACTCCAAGATTCGCTGCCATACAGCAGAACAGGTTCTATGTAACATTTTAGCACTGTCTCTCTGGCAATAAATGAGAGCGATTTATTCGGTATACGATGACAACCTGCAAACTTCTTCAACTGACCGCCACATATCATTCTTCAGGATGTTCTGGGAGGGCACCAGGCACAGACTGTCCAGGAACTGTGGACTTTGCTGAAGCGGGAGAGGTGCGATGGTGCGTTTCTGGCGCCCTCTGATGTCCTTCAGCTGGTCAAAGAGTTTGAGGGAAGACCTCCGGACTTTAGGTTAAAGTTCATCACAACAGCGGGCGTGTGCCTGCGACAGGTACTAATGTGTGTGTGTGAATGTAAGTAAGTGTGTGAGTGTGGGTGTGTGTGTGTGTGTGTGTGAATGTGTGTGTGTGTGTGTAAATGACCCTTTTACCCCATCGTCTGGGCTTATTGGGTATATAGAGCTTGACCGATATCTTATAGACAAATCGGAATTCGGGGGTTGATGTGGTCAACATCGCGCTGGCCGACTTTACTTCCCAGGTCTTTACCTTGTACCCATTTTAGGCTGGGTGGACCTGGGAGCCAAGATCATTAAAAAAAAAAAAACTAAATCAGGTTCCCATGCAGATTTAAACCCGCCACCTTTGGGCCCACAGGCGAGCGTCTAGACTCTGGGTGCTACACCACACCAGCTTCCAGTGTGTGCATGAAGCAAGGACCAGTATGTCTGATACTAGTATGTGCGTGCATGTATATGTGCATGTGTGCGACAGTATTATAATATGTGTGCATGTGTGTGTGTAGATACATGTGCTATTTTGTCTTTGGGTCAAAACTGTTTATGTCTGTGTTTGACACTGCATGAAGCTGTCTATGTCTCTCTCTCTCTAATAATAATAATAATAATAGTAAGTTTGTTCATTCGTTCGGTTTTCTCTCTCTCTCTCTCTCTGACTCTCTTATAGTAATAATAATAGTAAGATTGTTCATTTGTTCGCTCGCTCTCTAATAATAATAATAGTAAGTTTGTTCATTCGTTCGGTTCTCTCTCTTCCTCTATCTATCTATCTATCTATCTATCTATCTATCTATCTATCTATCTATCTATCTATCTATCTATCTATCTATCTATCTATCTATCTATCTATCTATCTATCTATCTATCTATCTATCTATCTATCTATCTATCTATCTATCTATCTATCTATCTATCTATCTATCTATCTATCTATCTATCTATCTATCTATCTATCTATCTATCTATCTATCTATCTATCTATCTATCTATCTATCTATCTATCTATCTATCTATCTATCTATCTATCTATCTATCTATCTATCTATCTATCTATCTATCTATCTATCTATCTATCTATCTATCTATCTATCTATCTATCTATCTATCTATCTATCTATCTATCTATCTATCTATCTATCTATCTATCTATCTATCTATCTATCTATCTATCTATCTATCTATCTATCTATCTATCTATCTATCTATCTATCTATCTATCTATCTATCTATCTATCTATATGTCTGTCTGTCTGTCTGTCTGTCTGTCTGTCTGTCTATCTCTCTCTCTCTCTCTAATAATAATAATAGTAAGTTTGTTTATTCGTTCGGTTTTCTCTCTCTCTCTCTTTCTCTGGCTCTCTTATAGTAATAATAAAAGTAAGATTGTTCATTTGTTCGCTCGCTCTCTAATAATAATAATAATAATATCTATCTATCTGTCTGTCTGTTGTCTGTCTGTCTGTCAAACAACCTGCTTGCCTGTCTATATTCCCTTTATATCGTTGTGGATACATAAGGCATTCACATTGTTACCTGTCTGCTGCTGTTTTACCTCCGTGTATCACAGACTCTTTCTTTTACCCTTCTGCTGTCCTTCTCCATGTTTCCAAGGGTCATCTAGGTCTTTTTTTTAATCTGCTGTCGGTTGGGGAGCTGCCTTTGACAAAGTATCACGAGACATTCTGCAAACATGTCCAAATCATCTCCGTCGTCTTTCATTGTTAGCATTTGCAAGTGATTTATATTGTGTTTTCATCTCATGTCCTAATGCCTTATGCATTACAGCATAAGACAACCCCAATCAGCACAAAGAAACATCTCAGACAGGGCATATTCATTCCAACACTATCCTATCAGTGCTAGATATGGACACTCACAACAAAATATACAAGAAAATTATTAAGCATGAAAATGAGGTGTCTGAGAAAGGCTGAAGGAGTGACCAGAAGAGATCAAATCAGGAACGAGATTGTACGAGCTAAAGTCGGCACAGAACCAATTCTAAATTACATACAAGGACAACAAATCAAATAGTTTGCTCAACTGGAGAGAATGCCTTCTGATGCTATACCATACAAGGCATATACCACAAGAGGAGAGGGACGTAGAGCTAGAGGTAGACCAAGAACAATATGGGAATATAACATCAGATAAACTCTACAGCACCACAATGTATCTATGGTCGAAGCAGCCAGAAAAGCACGAAGCAGAACCTTTTATCTCCATCGACACCCGAAGCGGTATAATAGGATGTAAAGAAAAAGAATGTTTAATTACGTTGAATGTTTCCTAAAGAATCGACATCATAGCACTTGGAACATTCCCCTAGGCGCTCCTTCCCCATCTTCAGCAGCAAGTACGGAGTTTCATTTCCAGTGGTAGCAATGACTGTCTGATTGTATATCCGTCTCACTTTTCCCCCCTGATTGCTAATCCTCGTCCAGATCCCCCGGTGACTCCCCGCAGTACCATTCTCTTCAGACTTTCTCTATGTGTGATCTTGTTTGGCAAAACTAGTATCGGGATTCTCCTTAGATATTTATTATGGGAGAAAAATTTGCTAACAGTTGTAAAATTCTTACAACAGAGCGCCATGGCCGCCCTGGGAAACATCACAGACTCCATCACAAACATGTACGCGTCAACGGAGACTGGTATTATAGCACTCCTGACTGTCACGGACGCCTCAGAGTTCAAGGACTGTGTTTGTGGTCGGCCACCAGATGGCGTGCAGATCCGCGTCGTTGACGACAAGATGGAGGACGTGCCACGCGGACAAGAGGGAAATGTTCTCGTGAAGTGTAAGTTTCTATGGAAAATATTTTTCTCACATTAGTCTTTGCCTTGATTATTTGTAGGTTTTCCAACAGTAAACAGAGACTTTTCGTTGACTACTGAGGAGGGGGACGCAGCGCGTATGTAAATGTCTCGTTGCAGCGGTTTCACTTCTTAATTCATTCATTTATAGGTAGGTAGTCTTTCCTCTTGAGAGTATGACGGCCCATAGGCAGAAGTCATAGCTCTCTATGTCTGGCGGTTTGTTGTCGCCTGTTTTAGGATAGGGCAGGTCAACCAGTTCAAGTACCTTTGAGATATATTAGACCGAAACGGTGGCATTAAGACCGAACTAGCTACACGAAAAGAAGCTGCTGGGAGACTCTTCCAGGCCATAAACCGAATGTTTCTTAGCAAAAGAGAAATTGGCAAGAGGACGAAAATGGCTGTTTACCGCTCTACCTGTGTGCCAGTCCTGACCTATGGGTGTGAGTCATGGGCAATGAAAACAGCTTTATGCCTCAGAAATGAGATATCTGAGGAAGGTGGTCCAAGTGACAAGAAGGGACAAAGTCCGCAGTGAGACAATACGACAAGATCTTGAAACCAAAGCCTTGCAAACATGAGTGGATTAGTCATAGTTACGATGGTTTGGACATGTATGCAGAATGGGAGAAAATCGGCCACCATGGCAGGTATAAGAGGCGAAGAACCAGGGAACCAGACCTCCAGGGCGACCCAGTGTCCGCTGGGAAGACAACATCCGAGAGTCCCAAAGTGAAAGAGGACTGGAATGGAACAAAGCCAGAAAGAAAACTGCTGATAGAGACGTCTGACGATCTCTCTGGCAAACCTCTACACCCCAAGGTAGAAGAGGAGCGACTAAGAAAGAAAGTAAGTAAAACCACAACCCCGACGCCTCAAGAAATTGTTTGGCTTCTCTATCCGGAATTCAGAGCCATATGTTAAAAGTAAAGTGATGGTATAAAACATACAAGAATTCTGTTCCTAACCTCCAAATAGAATTCTGGCATGCTTCAGAAAGCACGCAAACATAAAATCAATCTCACGGTAACACTTGTTTGCTTGTCTCTTTGCCAGCTCAGAACATGTTCCGACACTACTACAACTGCACACCCCGGGAACCAGCTTTCACTCCTGACGGTTGGTTCATCATCCGTGACCGTGGGGTCCTTGACGAGTCCGGGTCTCTGTCCGTGACCTGCCGGCAGGGAGATGTGGTCAGCCAGGGGATCACTCTCATCTACTTCAGCTGGCCGGAATCAGTTCTCGGCAAGTGCCCGGATGTACGGGAAGTGACGGTGGTCGGTATCCAGGATGCCGGCGGAGATGACGTCATGTATGCCTGCGTGGTGGCTCGGCCGTGTTCAGGACTTACGGAAGAAAGTCTTCTGGAGTTTTACAATGAGACTTTCATGACGTCTTTGAGCAAAAGTATTCTGAAGCCACAGATTAGGGGCGTCATTTTCTATGACGCGTTTCCTTTCAACTCTTTGGGGAAACTGGAAAAGCGGAAGTTGCGAGATGATGCCACAGCAAGGTTGTTCCAGCAGCAGGTCACGTGAAGCTTGATAGAATGGTTGCTCCTTGAACTGGGTGAAAATGTTTAGGCTTGTCATTTGTAATAGATTCTATAATCAATCATTACGTTTTTATTTTTTATTTGTTTTGTACCAATGTAAGCCATTGGGGGAAAGAGAGAGAGGGGGGGGGGGACATACAAGTATCGTTTTTGGTAAACTGAAATATTCTTGTTGTATCCATGCCGATAGCGCTGGTAGTCATGTCTTATCTACAACCTTCTGTCTGGTGTACTTTCTATAAATTCTCAAATATTATATGAACTAAGACCAACAAATGCTCTTTGTGCCCATAATCTACACAGGGGGTTATAAAAGAGTATGAGAAACACGTAAACCAGCACAACACAACAACGTCCTCGCATGATTGAAGAAGAAGACAATCATAAGTTTCATCCCCCCATGTGGGTTCCGGGGCGCCATTGTGGGGAAAACAAGAATAGACCCACTGCCTCCCGAAAAGCATGTCGTAAGAGTCGACTATTTGGGGAGCTTCCTTTGAATTCGGAGTGCATCTGCCGGAAAGGCAAGGAAACCAACAGTCTGTATTCAAGAGAATGTGATCTGTAAAACTGATGCACACGCAACACTCAGGTTCTGGAGCAGGACTGCAGTTCAGTTGTGGACGAGCAACCAGAACCTTCCGAGAGTTTACAGTAGTGAACGCGAAGAAGAAGAAGAAGATAAGTTTCATCCTAACAGTATTATGGTCCCCGGACAAAACAATACATCAGACTTTACTTAACCAACCGCTCACCAGAATAAAAATGTAAATTTTCGAGAAAATATTGTTTTGTTTCATATATTTTTGTAATATAGTTATTTCAACACCTTGTTTGTGTTGTTTTGCTTTATGTTGTTGTTATTTGTTGATGAAAGCTTCTTGCCTGAACGTTGTTTATGTCTTTGTTTATTGCAATCTTCTTCTTATTCTTTCGTTCGCCTGAAATAAGTTATCTTTATCAACAATTTTGTCTTTCGTAAAAATGTCAATGTCGTTTTTAATTTGTTCAGTGGCCTATGGAATTTACATTTTACTGTTCTTTCTGGCCAAAATTTTGCCTTAATGTATATTATATTCGATGGAGTCCTGGAGTACATGTTCTACTGTATGAGATAACTTTCCATACGTGTACCTGGTTGATACGCCTTTCTTGAATTTTGTGTACATGTGGTTGCGTAATTAGATGTGCCCTCGTCTGAGGTGGAAGATAATGATTTGTTCTGGTCTGCCCATAATAAAATAGTCATCGTGTGCTGGGGCTGGTGGTATCCTGATCGATTTAATGATCCTTTTCTTTAGGTGGTATGTGACTGGTACACCAGGCTGCTCTTTTGCTGCACCTTTCCCTACCCATTGATCAGCTTTCTCATTTCCAAGCACTCCACAAAGGGACGGTATCCACTAAATTGCGACTCTACGTTGACAGCTGAGTTGTGACAGCAGTGTTCGCAATTCTAGTAGTTTCCCATATTATATATGATAAACAAACAAACAGTGTATAGATCGGCACTCATAGAGAGAAGTAGAAAGATGTTCAATGACACCATAGGTTACAGAAATATATATATATTAGGCAAGCGTAGATCGAATAACAAACATATCAACAAAATTACAAACACAGCACACCATAATACGTTGTCTAGAATACAACAAACGATTTTTTTTTGGGTAGGTTTATGTATTTGTGTGTAGTAGTTTCCCAGACTGGGATGCTTCAAGTGTCGATTTCGCATCGATTTATTGTAATTATATGCTAAAATATATTGGTTTCTGATCCCCCAATCCCCCCCCCCCCCCCCCCCCACCCACCAGTTTTACACCAGTACATTAAATATTATAGAACAATTCTTAGAGTACCATGGATCAGGAAGAGAAAAACATGGACATTCTGAACAAGTTGAACATCAAGGAGAGCTGGCTCATAAACAGCATCCTGTCCCGAAAGTTGCAGTATTTTGACCACATCACGCGTCATGGTGGCTTGGAAAAGACGGTGATAAGGGTGCAGTTTGTGGACCACCGCGTATATGGATACAAGACATTGAAGATGCACTGGCATTTAAAGCACATTGGGCCGGAGAGCTGACGAGGGAAAGAATACTTTAAGGCGTGCCGTGAAGAGAGCGACGTTCCGTAAAGGACTTGCTGATTAATGTTGAGCTGTACAGCTCATTTATTTTATTGGTATTTGTTGTAACGTTGCGGCACATAATGGCCGAAACGCCATTCTTTTTTTTTTTTTTTTTTTGAGCAAAAAAGGAGGTGCGGGATGTAAGAATCTTCTGTGTGCTCTCCCTAATGCCTTGCCTAAGTTCATATTCATTTTGTTAAGGATATTTACGATGTTGTCAATCCATTTTTTTTTTGTAAGTGTTCTTGCTCCGCCGGAATTCACAGCCGGTGAACAAGAAGAAGAAGAAGTACTAAGTTCATTGTTATGTTTTTCCCCTCGCGTGGCTCTCTGTGCTAATTGTAAATTCCCGATGGTTAAAAATAGAAGCTGCTTTTTTTTTTCTTTCTTTTGTTGCCGCCCCGTTGACAGTTGGACAAGTTCATGTCCGAAATCCGGGCCCATAAGCTACCCCTCTCTCACTGGTGCTGCCGAAAACTGTGTGTCGTCCGTGTAGCATACGGTACCATACCTGCGGGGAAGTGTGTAGTCTTTCTCTAGGTGACAGCTGACAGTCGTGTAGCGTGTTTTGCCTGTGCTTGTGTCAATACATTCCTTGCGTGTTTTACATACACCATTTATTGTCAATGCAAACTTTATCCAAGTGTGTTACATCGATCTGCCAGCTCCAGATTTATATATATATATACAGCCGGACGTGACCCGACCTACATGTGTTATATCAATCTGTGTCAGTATATACCTGACCTACGTTGATTACATCGATCTGTGTCAAAGCACACTTGACCCGGATGCCAAACTTGGATCTGTATCACTACACACTTGACCCTCGTGTGTTACATTGATCTTTGTCAATACATATTGACCTGCATGTGTTACATCGATCTTTGTCTGATCTGTGTCTAAACATACCAGACACACAAGTGCTTCATTGATCTGTGTCATTACGCACCTGACCTACATGTGCTAGTTAATTGACGTGTATCTGTGTGCTTCCTGCCAGTGTTAAGAAATTAGTTACACATCTTTTTCGGCACGTCAAACAACAGCCCACCATTTATTACATAACTGGGCATTTACTACGTAATTTTTCTGTTGAGTAGATTGCTGCCTTTTCATCGGTTTGACGCTAAAGTGTGTTGTTGTCCATTATGATACATTCGTGACACGTGTTTTACCTGTGCTTACGTCAATTCAAATTGTTATCAAATTAAAAATGGTCTGTTGCTAGGTCAGCTGCAATTGACTTCGAACTATAGTATGTCGGCATTATGGAACTGTGTTCAAAACCCTGCGTGATAGAAGCAAGTTTCGTGTCGGCACACACGTTGTCTTATCCAAACATTAGTATAATAGAATAAAGTTTTTAAAAAGTTTCATATTGTCACACATAACAAGGTATTTTAAGATGAGAATTTGACCACTTGCCAATAGCGAGGTGTGAATGTCACGGCTCGAAACGCCGTGTACCCTTTCTATAGTAACAAGAGAGAGAGAGAGAGAGAGAGAGAGAGAGAGAGAGAGAGAGAGAGAGAGAGAGAGAGAGAGAGAGAGAGACACGCTCACATGATTTGACTATTTATGAATAATATTTACTGTTTATCTCAAAAACGTCACTCAGTTGACCTCGAACACAGCGAAGAAAACTCTGCTGCATGCCTACCACCCTCATACAGAACCTGTAACGTATGAACGCTGCCAGTTACTAGTACTACAATGCTAGCTGCGCATACATATTCTCAATATATCGCGTACTCTTTCTATTGTAACCATTTTCTGCTAACGCTTAGATGCGAAATGATCACGCTTCGCCGCTGCCATCTACATACATAATGCCTGTGGTTTCCAATGACTTCTCACGCCAGGCTCATCATCGGCAGTTAAACAATGGCGATGATGCGAAAGAAAGGCAAATATCTTCTTGGTGGTCTCGTGTTTGTTTTTCTCTGCTGGTTCCTGGTAAACTGGCAGAACAGTTTGAATCTGTTGCCTAGTCAAGTGGAGGACAGTTCCTTGGACGTGTCTGTACGAGAAGTCACAACAGTTCCACCTAAAATCCGGAGGGAACACAGCAGCAGTGAAAACCGGAAATGCCCTTCTCTGTCAGGCATGACTGAAGGCAGGTGGGTTGTGCGTCCCCTGAATGAAACTGAACAGATGATGATTGACACTTACTTGAAGGAAGCGAGAGGAGCATACAAGATCCCGCCAACGTTTCAAAGAGAGGACGGTCGCTGCGGGGACGTTACATACAGTAACGTCACTTTGCATAAACATATGTGGTTCAGAGCTATCTGCGACCCTAGAGGCGCCACGCCATGTTGTCATACCAACAGGTAAGACTATATTAAATCGACAGTGTCTCTTCTTTGTCTTCTTTTTTTTTCCCCCTCTAGCGTTCACCGGCTGTAAAATCCTGTGGAAAGTTCTGGTTGTTCACCCACCTCCAGACTTCAGTCTTATTCCAGAACCTGTGTGTTGCATGTACATCCGTTTCACAGATGTGGCTTATTTGTATGCAGACTCTTGGTTACCTGCCTCTCAGGCAGATACCTGCCGACTTCGAAGGATGCCCCAAAAAGTCCTCTCCTACGAGATGCTTGTTGGGAGGGCAGTGGGTCTATATTCTTGTTTACTCTACAATAGGGCACTGAACCCACACGGGTGGGGGGGGGGGGGTATGCTGTTTGTAAGTAGGTGGGCTAAGATTATTTGTCTACCAAACAGGTAAATGTAGGTAAACATGAAGTGTTTGTTGACTGTGCCCAGGACACCATGTTGACTCTGTCTAGGACACCATGCTGACTGTACCTACAACATCATGTTGACTGTGTCTAGGACACCATGTTGACTGTGTCTAGGACATCATGTTGACTGTGTCTAGGACATCATGTTGACTGTGTCTAGGACATCATGTTGACTGTGTCTAGGACATCATGTTGACTGTGTCTAGGACACCTTGTTGACTGTGTCTAGGACACCATGTTGACTGTGTCTAGGACATCATGTTGACTGTGTCTAGGACATCATGTTGACTGTGTCTAGGACATCATGTTGACTGTGTCTAGGACATCATGTTGACTGTGTCTAGGACACCTTGTTGACTGTACCTAGGACACCATGTTGACTGTGTCCATCATGTTGACTGTGTCCTAGGACATCATGTTGACTGTGTCTAGGACATCATGTTGACTGTGTCTAGGACATCATGTTGACTGTGTCTAGGACACCATGTTGACTGTGTCTAGGACATCATGTTGACTGTGTCTAGGACACCATGTTGACTGTGTCTTGGACATCATGTTGACTGTGTCTAGGACATCATGTTGACTGTGTCTAGGATACCATGTTGACTGTGTCTAGGACATTATGTTGACTGTGTCTAGGACATTATGTTGACTGTGTCTAGGACATTATGTTGACTGTGTCTAGGACACCATGTTGACTGTGTCTAGGACATCATGTTGACTGTGTCTAGGACATTATGTTGACTGTGTCTAGGACATCATGTTGACTGTGTCTAGGACACCATGTTGACTGTGTCTAAGACATTATGTTGACTGTGTCTAGGACATTATGTTGACTGTGTCTAGGACATTATGTTGACTGTGTCTAGGACACCATGTTGACTGTGTCTAGGACATCATGTTGACTGTGTCTAGGACACCATGTTGACTGTGTCTAGGACACCATGTTGACTGTGTCTAGGACACCATGTTGACTGTGTCTTGGACATCATGTTGACTGTGTCTAGGACATCATGTTGACTGTGTCTAGGACATCATGTTGACTGTGTCTAGGACACCATGTTGACTGTGTCTAGGACACCATGTTGACTGTGTCTAGGACATCATGTTGACTGTGTCTAGGACATTATGTTGACTGTGTCTAGGACATCATGTTGACTGTGTCTAGGACATCATGTTGACTGTGTCTAGGACATCATGTTGACTGTGTCTAGGACATTATGTTGATTGTGTCTAGGATATCATGTTGACTGTGTCTAGGACATTATGTTGACTGTGTCTAGGACATCATGTTGACTGTGTCTAGGACATCATGTTGACTGTGTCTAGGACACCATGTTGACTGTGTCTAGGACATCATGTTGACTGTGTCTAGGACACCATGTTGACTGTGTCTAGGACACCATGTTGACTGTGTCTAGGACATTATGTTGACTGTGTCTAGGGCACCATGTTGACTGTGTCTAGGACATCATGTTGACTGTGTCTAGGGCACCATGTTGACTGTGTCTAGGACATCATGTTGACTGTGTCTAGGGCACCATGTTGACTGTGTCTAGGACATCATGTTGACTGTGTCTAGGACATCATGTTGACTGTGTCTAGGGCACCATGTTGACTGTGTCTAAGAAATCATGACATCCGTATCTAGGAAGCCATGATATCTGTATCCAAGAAGCCATGATATCTGTATCTAAGAAGCCATGATATCTGTATCTAAGAAGCCATGATATCTGTATCTAAGAAGCCATGATATCTGTATCTAAGAAGCCATGATATATGTATCTAAGAAGCCATGATATATGTATTTAAGAAGCCATGATATCTGTATCTAAGAAGCCATGATATCTGTATCTAGGAGCCATGATATCTGTATCTAAGAAGCCATGATATCTGTATCTAGGAGCCATGATATCTGTATCTAAGAAGCCATGATATCTGTATCCAAGAAGCCATGATATATGTATCTAGAAGCCATGATATCTGTATCTAGAAGCCATGATATCTGTATCTAGAAGCCATGATATCTGTATCCAAGAAGCCATGATATCTGTATCTAAGAAGGCATGTATCTAGGAAACTACGTTGTCTGTATCAAGGAAGCCATGATGTCTGTATCAAGGAAGCCATGATATCTGTATCTAAGAAGTATCTAAGAAGCCATAATGTATGTAGGAAACCATGATGTCTGTATCTAGGTAGTCATAATGTAACTAGGAAGCCACAATGTTTGTATCTGAGAAGCCACGATATGCGTATCTAGGCAGCCATAATATCTATCTCGAGGGAGCTATGCCGATATTAAATGTTGTACGCTGGCGTGAACAGTTTCACGGCTAGCTTCATCTTGCAGGCAATCATCTCTGGAACTCTCTTCCAACAGTTGCCAGCTATTGGCACAAGAAGACTGCAGATGCCCCACCTGTCTTGACGAGAGACAAGCCGTCCATGCAGAGTTTGCCCACTGGCAGCCTACAGATGACCGCTGTCCAGTGATGGAGTTTAACGCTGACCGGGCCTGTCAGTTGCTGGAGGGCATGAGCCTTTACTTCGTTGGGGATTCTTTTATCAGGCATATGTTTGCTGCACTGGTGATCATTCTCACCAACGAGGTCAATGGGGCGATGAAGGAGGATATACCTAGAGGTACTTGGATTCACGATTTCCTCTCAACTAATACGCTCTTCTTTTTGATTGTCTCCGCTCATACATTATTATATATTCATCCATCTGTTTCAGTTTTTTCATTCTCCCATCTGTTTCTCTCAACTCGCACATTCAATCTGTTACTCGGTAATCATTCGTTGTAAGTTGAATATTCCCATGAAACCTGTTAATAATCATGTCCTTGTGCGCGCGCGCACACACACACAAGCTGAAAGACAAATTCAAAGATGGTTTGCGCGCGCGCGCACACACACAAGCTGAAAGACAAACTCAAGGCTGGTTTGCGCGCGCGCACACACACACACACAAGCTGAAAGATCAACTAAAGGCTGGTTTGCTCGCACACACACACACCACACACAATGTTTCACTTTAACTGATTTTTAATGTAAATCCCCACACTCAATCATATCCTAGATATCAAAGGCCGATGTCTGGGTCATAACCAAATCACAGCAGAGGTTTGCAGGGCATACCTTGACCCCGACAGGGTGCTGTGTCATGGCAAGGTCAAGGTGAGAACTTATAGGCATGGTGTCTATAATGAATGCGTGTTTGTTTAACATTACGTTGTCCGTATGTTCTTCTGTGTATTTATCAGTAAGTTTGCCTCTACGTTTAACTGTGTCCATTTGTATGGTAGTTCGTTTGTCTGCACGTTTGTATCTCTATCATTTCGTATGTCTGTATGTTTATACTTGTATCCGCCCGTTGCCTTCTCCTGGCTACGAGTATTCGAGTGAAAAGGGATTTGGCTTGTTTGGAATTGATCTCGAAGGAAGTGCAAACCAGAATATACACACTTTATGCATAATGCAGTCTCTTACACATACATGTATAGTGTTAACTTTAATGACTCGCATCTTTTATTTGTCCATGTACAATACTTTAAGATATTCTCTCTCTCTCTCTCTCTCTCTCTCTCTCTCTCTCTCTCTCTCTCTCTCTCTCTCTCTTTCTCTTACACACACACACACATGTATAGTGATGAGGTTGACGCCTAGCATTTTGTCTTTTGCTTGTCCAGGAACTATTCGTAGAGACGATCTCACCCCCACCCCCACCTATTTCCTTTATGCAAAGTCTAAGAGGAATGTTGTTAAGAGAGAGGTGTAGCATAGTGAAGGATAAGATAAATCTATTCCCTGAACTTATCTCTACTCCAAGCCTACAAGAGCTCCAACAAAGTATGTCGTGGTGAGTGGAAGCCAAAACCCACACCCAAGCAGCTTTAGTAACTAGAAAAATAAGTTCGTCAAGTAGCGACTGAGACTTAATGTGTCTTAGCCCTGACAGAAGAAGTTCTGTATGAAGTCTTAATTAGCAGTGACAGTAAAACCAAGTACACTAAATGACAAAACATTTCAGTCTACAAGAACAGAAACTGTATTTCACTCAATCAGCTGCTGCAGGAAGGTTTTACACCGACTATCGACACAAGACCATACATGATGATATACCTCGAATAACAAATAAACATACTAAGTGAACAAAAAACAACTAAAAGAAAACTACTAGCAGATTAGTGGCGAAAACTAAGTGCGAGAAACTGGTAAACCAATGAATAACAGCTAAAGTACTGACAGCTGCTAACAGATCAGCAACCTGTTAATACCGTTATCTGTAAAATAACAGACATAGACCCCCTGTCCATTTCTACATTTAAATATAAAAAAATTATTTCTTCTTCTGACCTAGGCATCTATTGCCAAATATCATTTGTGATAAAGGTCATCAGTGCCATTTAGCACCATCAACTCTGGGTTTAATCACCATTTATCAATGGTTATCAATGCTATGGTAGCACCACCGACCCTAGTTTGCCAGTTAAACCACCAGGCTGGGAACTCATGAGCACCATAAAATATGCAACTTAACTCACACTAATGGCAATGGTCTATGCAGGTATATCACGCCATATAATGTTAAATAAATTACATAAACAACCAGTAATCGTCTCAAATAACCTACTCAAAATACTCCACATCAAAACATTTTGAGCTACCCGGGAAGAGATAAAAGAAGAAACAGGACAAGAAATGTAGTTAGGAGAATAAATAGTTCCTGGAAATTTTTTAATTTTTTTTTCTGGCGCAGGAACCATGACATATTACTCCATTGTTCAAGAGATGATTATGTGAATAGTAAATTACACAACAACTACTACAACATCCAACTACATAGACAGCGCCTAGACAGACGATGTGCGCGAAGTCATATTCTGAATCAAATAAATGGAATTTAATAATCGCATTTAACGTTTGTTAATTTTCTTGAGCAAAAACTAGCGTGCTTCGCAGACAACAGTACATTAGCAATCGACAACGTAGTCAAACAGACCACGTTCGTCAAAACTAGATTTAACATAATCTACACATTGAAGAGAACGCCAAAGACGAAACCAGTAAGCCAGGTAATCTCTCTCGACCCACCCTGTACAGTTCCGCTACGATCGGAGGACCACATTTCCTTAGGGCCACTGACGAGACCAAAGAGCAAAGAGAGCCTTCTCTGCTGAGCTGGGACTTATATTAACTTTTCGACTCACAGGCCGCTTCCGGCGAGTCCTGATCTGCAAACCTGTCAGTTTTAATTCACAAGTGTTCAATTCAATCAGGTGCCGTCTCCACAATTAAGGTTGGCGGCAATGGATCTCCAACAAGCCCTGTCTCTTGCCCTTGATGTACACTCACTCATACTGCTGTTCGTCCATCTCTTGATGTTATCCGCCCACTTGTAACGCTGTCTGCTTTTTGCTCTACTACCTTGAACCTTTCCCTCTAGGATTATCTTTACAATACTGTTATCTCTTTTAATGTGGCCAAATATTTCACTTGTCTCTTTTTTATTTCCCCTAGCAACTCTCTTTTCATTCTCAATTTCCCCAGTACCTCTGTATTTGATAGCTTTTGTTTCCATGAAACACGACCTAATCTTCTGTATATCCACATCTCCAAAGAATTGATACGATTCTCCAGTTGTTTGTTCATTGTCCATGTCTCTGTGCCATACAGTAAGGTTGAGAATACATAACATTTGACAATTCTCATTTTTAATGTATTGCTTATTTCTCTTGATGCCAGTAACTTTTGCATGTTGTTGAAAATGTTTTTGGCCATCCCTACTCTTTTCTTGACTTCTGTTTCACTTCTGCAGTCACATGTTATTACTTGTCCAAGATATAATAAATTTTTAACTTGTTCCAATTTCACCCCGTTCACTGTGATATTCATTCTTAGCTGATTATTTTCTTTGCTAAATATCATGGTTTGTGTCTTTTTCAAATTTATATCTAATCCAAATTCTGCACTCCTTCTGTTTACTTGCCCCACTAGGTCTTGCAACTCCTGCTCACTCTCTGCTAGCAACATTGTGTCGTCAGCATATCTCAGATTCACAAGTGTAGCCAAGCCCAAATTATTAACAGGGTAAATAGATCCTCAAGTCAATTACATATATATGCACACAAACACACACGTGTGTCTGGATGACACTGGCGACTCACGTCTTGTCTTATGCCTGTCTGGGTACGATTAATAAGGTCATTCTCTCTCCCCTCTTTCGTGCGCTGTCTCTATTTCTCTGTCTCTGTCTCTCACGTGTGTGTAGTGGATGACAGTGACGACGCATGTCTTGTGTTGTGCTTGTCCAGGTACGGTGGGTGATATTCTCTCTTTCTCTCCCTCACCCTATTTAATTCACACACACACACAAACACACACACACTATAGAGATGTCATTGCTGACTCACATCTTGTCTTGCAATTATCCAGGTACAATACGTTGAGATGTTCTCCGTGGCCGACCTGCCAGTGATACACCAGCTTCTTGTTGACCTCCGTCAGTCCGGCAGCTCACTTGTAGTCCTGGGTCTAGGGATCCACGACAACTTCAACCCCACAGTGGTGTCCAAGAAGTTTCTCCACCCTTTCTTGAACCTTCGCCAGCATCTCTCTACAAATATGTCAGCCGAACTGGACATTCAGAAACTGATGAGAGTTTGGGATATTCTCGGTTGGAGCCCATCGACTTCAAACGTCATCAAACCGGAAGTAGCTGCTGATTTAAAAAACACATCTCCCTTTTCGAGAAAACGGGTCACGAACTTTGAAAATGGACGGACTGGTGGTTCGACTCGCCCGCAGCTCGTGATAGGAGAAGATCAAAGATCAAAAGATTATGTACGATAGCAACAAAAGAAATTTCAAGGATGCACATCATCGTCAGGCTGACGGTAACCATGTAGGCGAATCACTGTTAGCAGACTTGTATCAGAAATATGCCACCGACCTGGCCAGTTCGTCTGCCTTTTTACAGACCGATCCAGCTCCTGGTCTAGACTTGACCCGCCTACGGCCTGGTATATTGTGGGTAGGAGCACACGCCCCTGGACTACTGAAGTCCCCCAGGTTTCCGCAGCAATCGGCCGACGGTGTCCAGCATTATAACTCAGAGATCAGTCACGTTTTGAAACGATGGGGAGTTCCGGTCCTGGATACGTTCAGTTTTAGCAACGGTACAGTCAGTTTTGATGGGACCCACTACGGCTGGGGGATCAACAAGTTGAAAGCGAATATGCTGATGACCTACATCCGGACCTCGTTCTGGGGAGATGGGAGGAAGTAGCCATGTTGTGATGTCATCTATTGTTTCCACTGAAGTACTCAATCTTCGGAAGCCACCGTGGTGTAGCGGCTAGACGCTCGCCTGAGGATCTGTAAGTCGTAGGTTCAGATTCTCACGGAATGGTACTTTTTCATGACAACCTTGGCATCCCAGGTCAACCCAGCCTTAAGTGGGTACCAGAGAAAGTCATGCGAATTAAAGGTGGTTGGCCTGGTCTGGTAGTCATAGTTTCAGCTTCATAGCAAACGGGTCACCCCATCTTTGCTCCGCTCCTGTGCCAACGAAAAACACACAGAATGTTTATCACAGTATTAGAATTGCAGTTCATCATTGATGGTAGCAGAAGTCGCCAGCGGATCAGCAGTTGCCCACGCGATCAATTTTAATCACATACGGGCACCACAACACTGCACGACAGACATCGCGCCATTTTCTGAATCTACAATTTACACACCAACACGTTGGTCACAGTCGAAAAAACATTCCAAATGCAATCCGCAGCTCACGGGTGGTGGCGGTGATGTTGACCAAGTCACACAGGGAGCGCGACTGGTCTATAAAATATAAGCCTGGCCCTATATGCCCAGTACACTTGAAGGCGTGGAAAAAGGTCCTTTACTTTACTTTTACTACGGATGGGGGATCAACAAGTTAAAAGCCAGCATGCTTCTGACCTACATCCGGACCTTGTTCTGGTGAGATAGGAGGAAGTAGCCAAGACCGGCTCCAGCTGACGGGCCATGCTGCTGACGTCACCAAACCGGGCTACGCTACGTTTAAACGTATCAGCTTGAGCTGGTCTTGAAGTAGCCATGTTGTGATGTCATCCATCGTTTTCACTGAATGAACTCAACCAGGCCGGATGTAGAACTAGGTCTGAAGGAAGCCACAATAGCGCAGTTACTAGGCACTTGTCTACGGGTCCTAAGGTCTTCGGTTTTAACCCGCATCTCCTCTAGACCCCGTAGTGAGGGACGGATTGAAATAATAAATTACTTGTCAGGCAATTACCACAGTTTTCATTTACCACTTCAGAGAGTAACGTGATTTTCTTGAAACAAGGATTTACCCCTTTAGGAAACTTTGACGTAGCGCCAGATCATATAAAACATGTGGGTTTGTGGCTTTGTGTTTGTTGTGCTTGAGTTTATTGATTTATGTTTTTGAGGACACGTTGTGGAAGCAGGTGAAAGATGACAAGTCTCTGATGCTAATCCTGCTACGTGACCTGGGAGTGAAGCCTAGTGTAGCCTGGGACAGCCAACTGGGGGACCTTGCGCTGGCTGTTGCATAGGAAGACTGAGCATGTATGGGAATCCCCAGTGTGCAGCAAATTCAGATATGCTAGCATAACATATTGTAGACATATGTCATTGTTGAACACAGGACTGTCCAGATGCAGGGCATCATTGACACACCCACCGACCATGTACACAATTAGCGTTGCTAAAACGGAAACACCGTTAGTAGTAGTTTTTTACCCCACAAGGACATCACACAAGCGATACACACCCGATGACACAAAGTGACACCATGTGGATGAGGATCACCGTGGAGAGGTCCCAGAATCCTGCGTTTCAGCCATTAGACCATATTTATGGTCGGGCTATATTGCGGCCCCTGGCAAGAGTCAGGGTGGGGCTTCAAAAAACGAAAAATTGCATCCCACAACGAGATGTCTGGATTGGATCAGGAAACACCGTTACACATGGACACTATTTAAACAAAGAACATCCCTTACACCAGTGATTCTCAAACTATTTTCGCCGCGGCACCCTTGTCCAAAAAAAATTCGTATTCAATTATTTGTGGTAATTTCACATCTACACTTAAAGTGATTTGAGTACTTAGGGAAATAAGAAAATCAGTGCATATTTAATGTTCAGTTGTCATTAATGCGATGGATGAAACTATTTTGATGAATGTTTCATTATTTCCTTTGTGTATATGGGAAGTTTTGTTAATTTTACCCTCAAATTAATTGACCCAGCAAGTCTGGTCCTGTATCTGTTCTTCATGTAAGTGTACTTTGACAATGCACTGCAGCCTTGCTAATAGCATTGTTATCTCAATACACCTGCATCCAGAACTCTTCTTGGCTTCCTTAACGTTATTTCTGTTTTAATCTGCTGTCTTCGCTGATCTGAAGCAGATTTTGAAAAATTATTAATTATTGCCGCGGCACCCAGTTTGATAACCTCTGCCTTACAGAATGGCCACAGTTTATAAATAACTCGTATTAATTTCCCGGCTTCGTCCGGGATAGGTAATGAAAAATGACATTTTCCTGTCTTCTACTTCTTCTTTATCTTCACCACTGCCGTATGTTTATTCAATGCCCGGAAGCTCGTCCCTTTCCCCTTTCGCCAAAATTTGACCGACGAAGCTACCGCCGCCTCGATTACCCCAGCCGACTTAGGGGAACACTGGTACTAACCACTACTCTAACACGGAACCCACCGCTAAAGAAAAACTACAGCTACTTTCCAGACTTGGAATTTAGAAACAACAGCGAGATATAGTTTTGTCACACTTAATTTTTTCAAGGGGTGTAACAATATATGTAGGTACTCAAGGGATATAACTCCAGTAAATGTTAACTTCTAGTGACTGCGGTGTTAATTATTAGAAATACTTAAATAGTACAGTTAAGCCAGACTGCAGCCGGATTCTTCTTCTTCTTTCTTCTTGTGTCAATATCTGCTTAATTCACTAGGTATTGCAGTTCATCAAACGACTCGGCAGCCGACCCAGTGCGCGCTGGGTCGCTTGATATTCCGTGATAATATGCACTCTCAAGGTATCAGTGACTCCTTCAATCCATGTTCATCTGTGTCTTACCCTGCCTCTAGATGTTTCTATTTTCAGGTTATACACTCTTGCTGTTGGCCTCGTTGTTTGTATTCTCATTAGATAGCCAAACCATGCCATTTAATGTTTCTGAATAAATTTGATGATGGGTGTTGTTCCAACAGTTCTTGTGATCACGTCGTTTCTCACTCGATCTCTTCTGGTTTTATTCACAGCCGTCTCAAAACATCTCATATAGTAGTAAGTTAATATTCCTTACGTCCTTCTTAGGACGTAATTTTTTGTTATTTGAAGCCCCACTCTGGCTTTTGCCAGGGGCCGCAATATAGGCAGGCCATCATTATGGCCAATGTCGTTTTCTCTGGGACCTCTCCACTGTGATCCTCATCCGTGTGGTGGCACTTTGTGTCATCGGGTGTTTATCGCTTGTGTGATGTCCTTGTGGGGTAGAAAGTCAGTCAGTCAGTCAGTCAGTCAAAACATCTCATTGTAATCTACTGTAGTAATCAATATCCTTACGTCCTTTTTAGGACGTAATTTTTTGTTATTTGAAACCCCACTCTGGCTTTTGCCAGGGGCCGCAATATAAGCAGGCCATAAATATGGCCAATTGTCTGAACGCGGTTTCTGTGACCTCTCCACGATGATCCTCATCCACATGGTGGCACTTTGTGTCATCGGGTATTTATCGCTTGTGTGATGTCCTGGTGGGGTAGAAAGTCAGTCAGTCAGTCAGTTCAATCCACATTTTTCTCATTCTTCTGCCGCCTCTTGGTGTTTCAATTTCAGGTTTTACACTCTTGCTTTTAGCCTCGTTGGTTTCATTCTCATTAGATGACCAAACCTTGCTGGTGTTCCAACAGTTTTTGTGATCGCGTCGTTTCTCACTCGATCTCTTCTGGTTTTATTCACAGCAACCTCAAACATCTCATCTCACAGGTGGTTGGTTTTATCTCGTTTTTATGTGCGTCAATGTCCAAGCCTGACACTTGTAACCTAAAGTCGGTGTAAATAAATTGTATTTACAATGTGTCTTTTTGTCTCTATTAGGATAGCAACGTGTTTCAAAATTGGAGCAAATTGGCACTTGACATTGTTGGCTTGTTGGATTCTCGTTTCCATCTCTCTGTCTATTTTACCATTATATGTAAAGATGCTTCCCAGTTATTTAAATTCTTGCACTTGTTCCAGACTTTGATCTTTGATCTTTATGTCGATGGTTTGTTGCTGTCTACTTATTCTCATGACTTCTGTTTATTGAATTTTTTCGTTTTTGTTTTTTTTTTGTTTATCGACTTTTGGTGGTGTTATGTCTGTTTTATAAATATTGTCAAGGAGAGCTGCGTGGTTTCCAGGCATGGTGTCCTCCTTGAGTACTAGAGGTCCCGGTTCAATCCCCGGTAAAGGCTGGGATTTTTTCACGTGGACTTGGACTACTAGTAGTGAGATCGGACGCCCGTGTGTATTGTTGTGCACGTAAACAACCCCTTTACAGTTGGAAATCGAAAAGAGTCGCCTAACGGCGCAGCCCAGGCAAAATATAAAGTCATAAATCTACCCTAAATATTTCAGGATCCTCGCCGGTGCTACAGAGACTGTACACTGTGCTGAGCTTCTTCGAACTCAGACTTGGGTTAAAAGAAAAACGGAGCACGTATGGGTTACTACCCGTGTGCCATGATGTTAATCCGTTGTTCAAAACCTCAAACTATAAATATTGTCCACAAATATTATAAAAAGTAGAGCTGAAAGAACACACCCTTGCCTTACTCCTGATGTTACTGGGAACCAGTTATTTTGAACTTCTAAATCCACTGCCGATTTGCTGGACCTGCCGCTGCCAGATTGACGTCTGCAAATTTCGTCCCTCTACTTGTCACAGACAGACCACACACACACACACACACACACACATATACACACACGTAATATTGTAAGATACAGATGGAGGGATCGACAGACGTACACACACTCACACGCAAACAAAAGAGCTGAACCACTGGAGTATGGTGTCTAAAACGTCACTTTATACAACACTTACAGATCGACTTCCTCTATTTTTTTAATGCACGTATGTAGAAAATCCACAAACTCACCAACTCGTGGACCGGCCGGATATCCGGATGTGAGCCACAAAACATGGCCAAGGGGTGCGAACTACAGCTCACCGGAGGCACTTGAGACGGCAA